CATGGCTTCAATGCATCTCGACACTGCACCAGGCCCTTCTACACCACCGAACTCCAACGTCGACCCTGCACCTGCTTCTACTCCTGATGGGAACGAGTAGATACTCTATGTCTTCAAACCTTTTTGGTCCTTACTGACAAAAGGGGGAGAAGCGTATGAGTTGATAGTCTTCAAGTGGGTCCTTATGGGTGGTTGCACTACTTTTTTGCCAAGTGTTTACAACTCTCGTCTTTTGATACATTTGGTTCTTTGGGGTTGTAACACTTAAACTCGATGGTCGTCTGCTACTTTTTCTGATACTCTATGATGCAATGATAAATTCCGCATGAAGTCATTTCGCAGACATCCATTTTTCATTATGCATGTCATTATCTTCGTTATATCTTTATATGCATGATGAATTGTCTTCATAAGTGAAGAGGATCTCCACAAAGTAAAACCTGCCATGTGCATTTGCATTCAAAGGCAAACTACTTATATGCATATCTTCAGGGGGGGGCCTTTTACTACTTATGAATACAATGCCTTAATTCTCAAACTTTCACATACTTTTATCCCCGTTGAAAACTTCAACCAGTTTGTCATCAATCACCAAAAAGGGGGAGATTGTAAGTGCATCTAGTGCCACCCCTAGTTGGTTTTGGAGTATTGACGACAAACGTGGTTGAGGGACTAATGTGTTTGTGAGAATTGCAGGATAACACAGGTAGAAGTCCCTAATTGATTCGGTTTACCTACCAGAGATGACCCCTAAAATGTGTGAAGACATTGAAGACAAATGGGGATCTGTGAAGATATTCACAATGAAGATTATGACTTGAGAAGACATTCACGTGAAGACTATGGAGTACGAAGACATAGTTGTTTTGTAGTTTCCTTTTCTTCTTTGTTGAGTCATAGGAACCACTGTACTGTTAAGTGGGGTCCAAGTGAACAAAGTTAGAGTGACTGATGTGATGCTCAACCAAATCCTATGTCTTTGAGCGAAGACAATGAGAGCAAATCTTATCCAGAGATGGATGACTCGGCTTTACTTGTAGCCCAAGTCAAGCTGCCGTGTGTGTTTGAAATCTGACCATTTGGACACGTGTCAGTTCCTTAGTGATCCAGGGCCATTTCGGACAAATCAGGTCAGGTTGCCTCCTGGCTATAAATAGCCCACCCCTACACCATAAATTGGTGGTTGCTTAGAGTTAGTGCATGGCTTTTGTCGTTTGAGAGCAACCCACCTCTGAAGCATTTGAGAGAGAGAGATCCTTGCGAGGACAAAGCCCTAAACACCTAGAGCCAAAGAGTGTTAGGCATCATTGAAGTCTTTCTGTCTGCATGATCTAAAGACTTGTTACACTTGAGGACTGTGAATCCTCCAGCCGGTTAGGTGTCACGTTCTGAGCGTCCAAGAGTCATTGCGGATCGCCGGTGAACGAAGTCTATGAAGGTTTGGAAATCTACCTTGAAGACTTACCAGAGTGATTGGGCGAGGACTGTGTGTCCTTAGCTCAAGGGGAATAAGATGAAGACGCGGTCTTCTGAGTTGAATCTCAGCCTCCCTAACTAGACGTACAGTTGTCACAGCAACTGGAACTGGTCTACCAAATCCTTGTTTTCATCAAGCTACTGGTTCTATCCTTTACTTTACAGACTGTCTTCGTGAAGTCATTGCATGCATGTATGATCTGATTGACTTCACTAAGTGAAGACTCTTTACTGTTTGGCTTCATACGATCTTCCATCCTGAGCCATACTACCTAGCTGCTGATAGTCTTCGTGGTTTCACTTCATTGCTTATTTGACTATGGCTTGTCTAGTGTAGTCTACCTTCTGTTGCATA